CAGGAAAAGCTAGTTGAAAAGCAGCAGAAATACAGACTTAAAAGTCTGGCATTTTTGTTTATTACGCACTCATGTGGTGCTTACTGATACCAGGCACTGCTCTAAGGCTTTGCAGGTATTAACTCATTTAATTCCTTGTGGTGGTTACTATCATTCTCATTTTATAGATATGGAAACTGAGGCAGAGGGAAGCTAGGTGCCTGATGGTTAGTGATGGATCCAGGATTTGCCCCGGCCATAACACCTGATGTGGGAACACTTGGTGCAGCTGCAAGTGCTTGCTCAGAGACACGGTAATCACTAGGGCCTCCGGGCACTCTGGCTCTTGGACCTTAAGTGTGATGAGCAGAGACTGTTCCTGAAGCCAACTTTCGCCTTCAACATCCATCCAGTTATTTGCACTTTGCACTCTCTTCTCAGTAAAGCTCCCCAAATTTTCCAGGCAAAAGCACTGTTCCGGAACATCAGATCAGAAAGGAAACTGTTGCTCATTGGCAATGGGTCTTCAGTTTAAGTTGTCATCTGATTTGACCTGATTGAGCCAGCCATCTGTATACTAACCTTGGTGTTTTGACAGTGAATTTATGTACCCAGGGGTCTCTTACTTGCAGTTTGAGAAGGCCATGAGAGGTGTGTGACCCACACTCACATGAGCTCTGTCCACAGCGTGTGCTCATGCTCAGAGCATTGAGAAAAGCCAGGGGTTTTCAGAAGCTGCTTGGTAGTGAGGGAGCAGGAAGTATACAGCTTGTCCTTAGAGCGTATTTGCATAGGATTCTGCCAGGCAAACTCCTACTCAACCTTCAAGGCCCCACTCAAATGTCCCCTCCCTCATGCTCCTTTGGCAATCATGTGCTGAATTTTGACACATTGTTTGGGCTTCCACGTTTGCATGTCACTGAATTATTTGCAAAGTCCCAACCTGTCAGTGCCCAGTGCATACTAGAGCGTCCTTGGCACTGGGTATGTCAGTGGAAGTGTTTGGGATAGGTAGATGTATTTGTTTCTTTTGGCTGCCAGAACAGGTTACCACAGACTGGGTGGTTTAAAACAGGAAGCATTTTCTCAGTTCTGGAGGCTAGAAGTCAGGGTTGGTTCCTGTTTGGGGCTCTGGGGGAGGACCGGTCCCATGCTTTCCTCTGAGCTTCTGTGGTTCCTGGCAGTCCTCCATGCTCCGTGGTGTGTGGACGCATCACCCCATCTCTGTCTTTGTCTCATGTGGCCTCTCCTCTCTGTGTGTCTAAGGGTCCAAATTTCCCTCTTCTCATAAGGACACTTGTCATAGGATTTAGGACCCACCTTAATCTGGACTGACCTCATTTAGCTGAACTCCACTGCGTTTGCAAAGACCCTGTCTCCAAGTAAAGTCACATTTACTGGTCCCAGGGGTTAAGATCCAACCTATTTTGAGGATCACAATTCAATCCAATACAGAGGCTGTGTGGAGGAGGGGTGCTCCAGACAGAACTGAGGAGCAGAGGTGAAAGGGTCTGGAAGATCCAGGGAGTTGCAGGTGGTCCTGCCCATGGTCTGCGTGGAGCAGGCATGAGATGCAAATTAGAGGGGCAGGGAGTGCCTGCTGATCGGGGGAGCCAGGGCGGGGGTTAAGGTGGTGTAGCCTGTGGTGACCAAAGACAGTTTTGATGCAGCGTGAGATGCAGGTGGAACTGCACTTTGGTGAGAACCACAGGGGACCCTGAGGTGGAGATGGGCAGTGTCCCAGCTAAGTCCAGTGGCCTGCAGGCCAGGACCTGCCCTTGGCAGCTCTCCACTGGTCGGAACCAGGGAGCCCCTGCTGCCCAGTGCTGTGCTCCCGACACCACTAGCCATCTCCCTGGACTGAGAAGCTGGGTTTGGGTTCCCTGGAGGGGGCCCTGGGCACAAGGCCTTGGCTGGCATGCAGGTGCCTCCTTGCTCCTTGGCACAGGTAGTTGCTTAATAAATTTAAATTTCACCCAGCCGCTGTAGGTCAGTGGTTGAGCATTGACCTGTGAACCAGGAGGTCAGGGTTCGATTCCTGGTCACCGCACATGCCCAGGTTGTGGCTCTATCCCCAGTGTGGGGCGTGCAGGAGGCAGCCGATCAATGCTTGTCTCTCATCATTGATGTTTCTATCTCTCACTCCCTCTCTCCCCTCTCTGAAATCAATCAGTCAATCAATTTAAGTTTCATTGTTACTGTTTGTATTGGTTTTCTCTGCAGTCTTGTCCTTTTGTGCCAGCACCTTGTGCAGGGGAGACAATTTCATGGGAACAGGACGGAGCTGATAGGCAGGTGGGCATCTGGGTGTTTGCCATGTGGGTCGGGAATAGGAAAGTGAGACCAGTGAGGGCAGGTGCCATGCCCAAGGTCTGAGAGCCAGGAAGACGTCAAAGCCAGGCCAGTCCTGCTCCGTTGTCCGTGTCGGGGGTGGGGGTGGGGGTGGGGAGCAGGCTCTCGGGGCCTGTTAGATGTGAAACTTGTTGCCTTCCAGAACGTGGGCTAATTCGATAAGGAAGGTACATTGGCTATTTTCAAACATTAGAGCTGTCCCCGTGGCTGCAAATGGCTTGGGGACCCCCAACCTCCCTTCGCTTGGCTAATTGATCATTTTAGGCAGTTGTCACTGAAAGTGCTTTCTCCCCAGGGGTGGGAGGGGGCACTGTCCCCTCACTCCTGTCCTTGGGCCCGCCCTGGGAGGGCAGGGATGGACCCCCTAGCTGGGTAGTGGCCCAGCGAGAGCCAGGGTTTCCCTCCTCACTTCTTGTTTCCAGGGTAGATTCTGTGCTGATCAATATCACACCTGCACGTGAAGAGTCATGGTGCTGCGGTTGTTAAAAGTCCAGAGTGATCTGCCTCTTGCTGTCTTTCCACTTCCCAGCAACACCCTCTTGCCCTTCTCATCGCTAAACCAAGTGGCGCTTTTGAGATGTTTTTAGTTCTAGGCTCTGTCTTCGCTGGCTCCAGCTGCTGTAGACCAGGCACTTAAACAGCAGGCATTTCTTTCTCAGTTGCCGTGGCTGGAAGTCCAAGGTTGTGGTGCCTAAGGTTTGATTCTTGGTGGTGCCTTCTCCCACTGTCCTCACGTGGTGCACGGAGCTCAGGAGGCTTTGCTGTGCTGCCCTCTATCCTGTCTTCCCTCCCAGGCCCTCATTTCCCTGGAGACACCTTCCCCCTCCCATCTCCTGCCAGGTGAGCAGTGGGGAAGGTCCAGGGATCTCAGCCTCCTCAGCCTGCTGCGTTCCCCAGTGGGGCTCCCTGGGTGGCGCAGTGTCACTTGCAGCACCTGGGGTTTGCTGATCCAGTTATCACTAGTCCATTTGCTTCTAGAATCCTGCTGATGGCTCAGCTGTCTCAGCCCTGTCCCCTTCGTCCCTATGAATGTTTGCCTTTTCTGTCCCTACCTCACTGGGGTGGGCCGAGGGGTTGCGGTGCAGCAATCACCCACTTGGCCCTTTCACCATCATTTTTCTGGACTTTTTTCCTGAGTGTTTTTTTATTTGTTTTATTTTTGTTAATCCTCACCCGAGGATATTTTTCCATTGATTTTTTTCTTTCTTTCTTTTTTATTTTAAAGAGAGAGAGGGAAAGACAGAGAGAAACATCGATGTGAAAGAAGCACATCGATTGGTTGCCTCCTGCATGCACCCCATCCAGGGCCCGGGCCAGGGAGGAGCCTGCTGGGCCCCTTTGGTCGGCTGGCCGATGCTCTATCCACTAAGCCAAACAGGCTAGGGCTTCCTGAGTGTTTTTAACTTAGCTGAGATAATATTCTGTGTCCTACTTGTTTCTCTCTCTCTCTCTCTTAGTATTTTGCAACATTTTCTCATGCCTTTACAGACTACAAAAGTCGTTTATAATGGGGCTTAACATCTTACAGGTTCTTCCATAACTGCAGGCCTCTCAGCATCGCCCATTTAGCTCCCCCACACCCGAAGCGAACATGGGTGCAGAAAAGGTTCCAGTACTTAACGCACTGTGTGTCCTTGGGAGAGAACTCTTGCCTGGAGGCGGGGAGCCTTCCAGGGAAAGGCGGCTCTGTTCCAGTTGTTTCCTTTTGTTAACTGATCTGGAGAAAAGAGTCATAATGTGTGAATGACCAGAATGCCTTTTCCTGTTGTCTGAGCACCCTTCACCGTCCCCAGGTGAGCGTGGCAGGCAGCCCTGGGCTCACAGCGCCCCCTGGTGGCTCCCCGTGTTGGCTGGCTGCTGGGTCAACTGAGAATTGATGCACTTGGGGTACCACCTCCACAGTGGGGACATAGTGGGAAGGCCAGGGGAGGAGGAAGTTATAATGTGAATAAAAATCAGCCTGGCTGGCGTGGCTCAGTGGTTAAGCGTCGACCTCTGAATCAGGAGGCCACGGTTTTATTCCCAGTCAGGGCACATGCCCAGGTTGCATGTCCAGTGAGGGGCGTGCATGAGGCAGTCAACCAGTGATTCTCATCGTTGATGTTTCTCTCTCTCCCTCTCCCTTTCCTTTCTGAAATCAATAAAAAAATATTTTTTTAAAAAATTAAAGCAAGAGGAACCCGCCCTGAGGACTTGGAGGCTGAGGGGCAGAGAGGGCAGCTGACCGTGGCCCTGCAGCGTGGTGGGGCCCGCCCCTGTCTCTCTCCAGGGGCGGTTGGGCCCACGGCTCCACAGGAGTAGGAGCCACTATCAGGCCAGCTGGTGGCATGTTGCCCAGTGAGGGCGTGGCGCTGGGGCCCTGTGTTGGGCGCGCCCTCTGCCCCTCGCTGCAGGGCCTTACTGCTCAGGGGCAGCAGAGCTGAGCCTGTCCGGAGGAGCCACTGGGACCAGAGGACTGGGCACGGCCTGGTGGAAGCAGAAGGCTCTTCCTTTGGCGCTAGTCTCTGGACAAAGGCTTTCTGTTGGAGGCGGCTTGCTGTGGGCTGTTATGCTGCTCCTCCCAAGCGGGGAGGTTCCTGCATGGACGGCCGTGAGTGAGCCGTGTGCTTCTCCAGCTCTTCACATCCAGGCAGAGAACGGTGCCCCGGGGTCCGCCCGCTGGCCATCCTGTGTGCTCACTGGACATGGCACCTGCCAGCACCTGCCACACAGCCTCTCCTCCCACCCTCCCATTAGGCCATCCTCCCTCTCCGGCTCCTTCCATCACCTCCTCCTGGGTCTCCCAGCTGCTGTCCCCAGTGGCGTCCTGAAGAGGTGGCTCTTGTAGGTCTTTGTGATGCTCTGTGGGGATACGAGCTGCCTCCCCTGGGAGGGACGGCTGTGTGGCTGGCATGTGTGGGCTTCACACCCTCCAGACAGATCTTAGGGTCCCCAGTCCCTGGTGTAGATTTTTAACACACCCTTGCTGGACAGATACACCATGCTCTGGGGCCCAAGATGGGGGGCGTCCTGGGGACGGAATCCCATCTGCAGGTGACGAGAGAACTTGGGACCTGCCCTTGGGGAGGTGGGGGCTGTGTGCTTAGCATGGGGCTTTGGAAAGGGCTCAGCCCCACTGGCTGAGGTTATACACATGTGTGGCAATGTGTACACAGAGTGCTGACAGCAGGTATTGTCACATCTAGTCAGCGACTGAGCCCTCACCCCCTAACCTCCAGCAGGCACTGTAGATGCACCCACGTCCTGCGCTCACGTCTGCTTCTCTCTCAGATGCTGGATGAGAACCACCACCTGATACAGTGCATCCTGGACCATCAGAGCAAGGGCAAGACGGCCGAGTGTGCCCAGTGAGTGACCCCTCCCCCAGCTCAGCTCTCAGGTGGTACAGGCTCTGCCCAGCGCTGGCAAGGCCTCCATTGGGGGTGTTGAGTGGCCTGGGTGCATTGGGCTGTGGCGGTCACCTAAGCCACTGAGCATCACCCCTTGAGGGTGACCGCATTGCCCCCCAGGCTGCTCCCAGAGAGGTGTGGGATGTCTGAAGGGAAATGGAAGTGTGGGAGGAGAGAGGGCCCTGGGGAGGCCCCGGCCGGACACTGCTGGCACCTCTGTGAGCAGTTGGGGGACACACCAGGGGAAAGTGGGCTCCATCCAGGTAAGACCTCCAGGACCGGACACAGAGTAGGTGCATAGGCTGGGCATCAGAGCTACCTGGAGGGAGATGTGTGTGAGTGGCCATCACACCCCTGGGCATTCCTCCCAGCACCTCCTCAGGCATAGAGGATCGCATTAGCCAGGGGCATCTGCGAGGGCTTGCTCGCATCCTCTCTCTGAAGAAGCCGGGTGGCACGTCCCCCTTGGCCACCACCTTGAGGTTTTTGCAGCATTTTGTCGTTGGATGGGCACCCACTCCCCTCCTGGCCCACCTGAGGCTGCAGAGCCTCTGCTGCTTGCCCTGTCCCCAGGTGTTCTATGCAGTCCGTGTCCCCGGGCGGGATGCAGGGCAAGCTGTCCTGGGTAAACTTTGCTTTGGGTTGGCCTGTGGGCTCCCCTGCTTACCACACGCCCCTCGCATGCAGGTACCAGCAGATCTTGCACCGGAACCTGGTCTACCTGGCCACGATCGCGGACTCCAACCAGAACATGCAGTCCCTGCTGCCCGCCGTGAGTGCCAGGGGGACGGGGGCGGCTGCCATCCTGCCTGGCACAGTCAGGCACTGCCTCAGACCGCCAACGACGGAGCAGAGGTCTGAGGTCTTACCTGGCAGAGCCAAGGTCACCACAGGGAGTGAGAAGGGGCAGGCCCTCCCATTATAAGGGAAGGCAGCTGGACAAGTCCCTGCAGTGGCTGTTGGCTGGTGGTCATTATGGGAACTGACCTTCCTCCCCATAACCTCCTGTTGCCCACAGCCGCCCACCCAGAACATGAACCTGGGCCCCGGAGCGCTGTCCCAGAGCGGCGCCAGCCAGGGCCTGCACTCCCAGGGCAGCCTCAGTGATGCCATCAGCACTGGCCTGCCCCCCGCCTCCCTCATGCAGGGCCAGATCGGCAATGGTGAGCACCCTGGTTTGGGGTTTGGGTTTGCGGTTGGTTCTTGCAACAGTGTCACCAATGCAGGCTCCCAGGTAGCCACACAGGACAGCGCTAAGGAGGCCCCTTTCTCCAGAGTTCCTGGCTGCGGGCCAGCTACAGGGCCAGGTGCAGGGGCCCGGGGCGACACGCAGAGAATGACACCTCGTTCCGTTCTCCTGCTGTGATCTGCACCTGAGGTTAGGGCCACTTGGACTCGCAGCGTCGATTCCGGGGGCTCCCTGACGAGAATGGAAGTGCTCCTGTCTGCAGCAGAACTGGTGCTGGCCACCGGGACCTATTAGTGACAGCACAGCGCATCTGCCCGAGGGACCGGGGTGTCGGGCAGAGAGCTTTAGATGGGTTGAAGGCGTCCTCACCGTCTCTCCTGGCAGGTCCAAACCACGTGACCCTGCAGCAGACGGCACAGAGCACGCTGCCCACAACCTCCATGAGCATGTCCGGCAGCGGCCACGGCTCAGGGCCCGGCTACAGCCACTCAGGACCCTCCTCGCAGAGCGTGCCCCTGCAGGGCCAAGGTGCCATCAGCAACTACGTGTCACGGGCCAACATCAACATGCAGTCCAACCCAGGTAACACCCCGCCCGCCCAGCCCACGTGCACACCTGTCCCCGGTCCCTCCAAAGTGTTCAGGTCACACACAGGCTGCCCTGCTGGGCACGGGCTAGTGCTAAGGAGGAGAGGGGTCCCGAGGGCTGCCCCCTGGAGCTCCCCAGGGCCAGGGGTTGGTGAATACAAGTCAGGCAGTGCCCGGCTTTAGGGGGCCGAGTCTGCTCCCCACGGCACCCGGGAAGGCTCTGCAGAGGGTGCCTGGGTTCTGCTGAGAGGACAGGACTCGGGTCACTTGGGTGGGGGGGAAGGCATAGTGGGGCAGAGAACCAATATAAATTGGTTGCCTCCCACATGCACCCCGACCAGGGCCCTGGCCGGGGAGGAGCCAGCAACCGAAGTTCGTGCCCTCGACCAGAATCGATCCCAGGACCCTTCAGTCTGCAGGCCAACTCTCTATTCACTGGGCCACACCAGCTAGAGCTCTTTTCACTCTTGACATGGCTCACATCGTTGTGTTGGGTGTTGCTGAGTGAGAGCTCTGAGCAGGGTGACATGAGCAGGGCAGGTGGCAGGGTGTCCAGATGGCCTGGGAGCCTGTGGCGTCTTCTGAGTGTCACCATGGTGAGAGTTGGTGCCGAGGTTCGCTGGTAGGAAGTGAGACAGGGAAGGGAGGAGACCATCTCTAGGGGAAGCCCAGGGATACAGGGAAAGCTTGCCTGGGAGAAGGGCACCTTTGGGCCTGAGCCAGGGGGTGAGGTGCCGCCATGGGAACTTCTCGGGGTTATTCGGGTCTGTCGTGTCGCCCAGTGTCCATGATGCATCAGCAGGCTGCCTCGTCCCACTACAACTCGGCGCAGGGCGGGAGCCAGCACTACCAGGGCCAGCCCATCGCCATGATGGGCCAGAGCGGGCAGGGGAGCAGCATGATGGGGCAGCGGCCCATGGCGCCTTACCGGCCCTCCCAGCAAGGTACCGCCATGCGCCTGCAGTCCGTGTGCTCCCTTCCAGGGCTGGGAGGACAGGGTGTGTGTGTGTGTGTGTGTGAGAGAGAGAGACCACGCATTTTTTGGTATTGCACAAGGAGGATGCTGCGGGTTGGAGCCTAGTGGGGCCACGAAAGCCAGTGTCTTCACAAGGGGTGGACGAGGCTGGAGTGCTCAGTGGGGTCACAGGTGGCTGTGTGGCTGCAGTGGGGGTGGGCAGCTATGTCTAAGCGACAGGTGTAGAGGGCTCGGTGTGGGGCAGTGCCGTGGTATCCCCGGGGGTGGTGTGGTGGGGCATCTCGATTTGTGGCCCGTCGAGGAGGTGTTCGTGGGGCTGAGGCCCCAAGTTCACCCACAACCCACCCGCCTGCAGGCTCGTCCCAGCAGTACCTGGGCCAGGAGGAGTACTACGGGGGCGAGCAGTACGGCCACGGCCAGGCAGCCTCGGAGCCGCTCAGCCAGCAGTACTACGCTGACGGTGAGCCCCAAAACGCCTCTCGCCACACCTACCCTTCACGCCCGCCCACCCAGCATCCCAGTCCCTGTGCCTGAGTGAGTGGCACCTGCCGCAGCCACTCGCCTCCTTGGGCTGCTCATCTCTCTTCCCCAGAGGCAGTGAAGCCAGGCCCAGCTGTAGGACACTGAGCAGGTAGCTGTGGCTACTTTAGGGGAGGGACGCAGCGGCCTGTGAAACGCCTCCAGGAAGGTGACGGTCTATGACACTCGGCTCCCAGCTGATCAGTCGTATTCCCTTCATTGTTCCCTCTCAGTCACCTTTAATAGTCACAGGTTTGGCAGGTGGCGTTATGGTGGTCGGAGGGGATGGCTGGGGAGGACTCCCAGACAGCAAGCCAGCAGGATCGGGTTGGGGCAGCGGAGACGAGCACGGGCTGGCCAGGCCCGCCACATAGCGTGAAGGTCTCTGCAGGCACCGCACCCCCGATGGGATTCCCCCAGAGCAGACGGCGGATGGCAACCATGCAGCAGCGTTGGCAGCCAACGACAATGATGCCTGCCGCGTGTCAGGACTGAATGTAGTCAGTACTTAGGACACTGAGGGCCGTGTGGCCATCTGCGTTCTACTTACAGGGACCAATGGTGGGCTCCTTCATGGGCTCCATCTGTGAGGAACTGATCGTGCCTGGCTCTGGCCACTGCCCGACCCCATGGCACTGCCTGCCTGACTCAGGCTGCCCCGCCCCTGTCTGGTGGTTAGGTCCCTGACTGCCAGCCATCGTCTGCTTGCAGGGCACAGCGATTATGCCTATCAGCAGTCATCCTACTCGGAGCAGAGCTATGACCGGTCCTTCGAGGAGTCCACGCAGCACTACTATGAGGGCGGTAAGCACAGTGCCACGCGGGAGGGTGCTGTGCACCCACTGAGATGCTGGTTCGCAGGCACCGGGCCCGCTTAGAGCAGGGCCAGACCTCTGTGGGGCCGCGTCGACTTCTGGGAGTGGGAGGGCAGGCGGGACCTGGGTCCCGCACACCTAGTGCGGTCGTGAGGCAGGAGGGCTGGCCACAGGGGCAGGCGTCCAGACTGCTCTGTGACAAGGCTGTGTGTGCAGAGCGGCCCCCAAATGCCGACTTTGCCAAGAGACCAAAGGAGGAGGCAGACGAGGCCAGCTTGTGGGTTAGTGGGTTTCGCAGGGTTCTACGTGCAGGAACAGGTCCTGGGTGGCGGCAGGGCGTTCAGATCTCCGCACCCTTCACCCCAGACCACCCACTCTTATCCTCCTAGAGATGGACCACAGGTCAGGAAAGCAGTGTGGAGGGTTAGGGAACCAGGAAGCCAGGCTCCGGAGGCCCTGGCACCAGGGTGATCCAAGAGGGAGACAGCTAGGGAATCTGCAGGCCGAGCTGTAGCGCCTGCCCATCCCTGCTGCAGACACCCGCTGCCTTCAAGCCACCAAGTGACGTTCCAGGCGTGGATTTGGGAGCAAATACTCGCAGTTGGTTCTCGGGTGGGTGCCAGCTGCCCTCACTCCCGAGAGAGGAGAAGCAGTCAGCTCCCAGGATGGCGTGGCCTGTGTCAAGTGCCAGCTTCCTGCTCTGGAAGTCAGAAGTGGGGAAAGCGAGGCTCCTAGACAGCCCCTGACAAACAGCAGACATCACCTGCGTCTCCTCCACTCTGCAGGGAACTCGCAGTACAGCCAGCAGCAGGCGGGGTACCAGCAGGGCACAGCCCAGCAGCAGGCGGGGTACCAGCAGCAGTACCCCAACCAGCAGAGCTACCCGGGCCAGCAGCCGGGCTACGGTAAGAGGGCACTGCCCGGCACACGCCTCCTGCACTTTGATGGGGAGGTTTAGGGTGTGTTGTGGGAAAGCTGCGAGGAGAGGAGAGTACTGTTGTCATGCGACTGTCACACTAAGAGGCCGATGTGGTCCATCACTGCGGTCCAAACCCACAGGGGATTCAGACCTCACTAGTTTTGTGCCCGGGACCCTCTGGGCTCCTTACGCTCCTCTGGGCTCCGACAGTCGCTCTGACTTTCTTTGTTTTTTGTTGTTGTTTTTTAAATCCTCACCCGTGGATATGTTTTTTTGATTTTAGAGAGAAGAAGGGAGAGAGAGAGAGAAACATTGATATGAGAGAGAAACATCAATTGATGGCCTCCTATACTCGCCCTGACCAGTAATCAAACGCAAAACCTAGGTGTGTGCCCTGACCAGAACCCACGCCCGCATCCTGTTCTTGGTGTGCGGGATGATGCCCCAGTCAGCGGGGCCCAGCAGGCTCTCCTCTTTCCTCGGGATGAGACCGGGCTGTGGGCTTTGGAAAGACCACAGAGGTGAGGCGCCTTGTCACCTGTCGGCATGACGCCTCCGATGCTGGTCTCGGTCTCTGGGTCAGGGGGCATCTGTCCAGTTACAGCTCTCTCTCCCCTTCTGTAATATTTGGGAGGGAGTCCCCGCGTGCAGTCCACACTCTAGGGGGTCTACCTGGGTTGTTTAGAATCCTGTCGGGAAGGTCTATCTCCTCCTCCACTGAGTCATTAATCACCATTTATACAAAGATGACTTCGTGGTCAGCCCCCAGGGGCACTTTATTTTTAGTGAATACAGAAATGTCACAAAAATCAGTCACATGGAGAAAATGCAAAAAAGTGAATTTGTAAATATAAAGAATTCTATGTAGCACATTTTCAGACTACAGTGAAGTAACACTAAAACGATGTAACAAGGCCTGGCTGGAATGGCTCAGTTGTTTGAGCAGCGATCCAGGAACCAAGAGGTCACTGGTTCGATTCCCTGTCAGGGCACATGCCTGGGCTCTGGACTCGATCCCCAGTGCAGGAGGCAGCCGATCGATGATTCTCATCATTGATGTTTCTATCTCTCTCCCTTCCTCTCTAAAATTAATTTTTTTTAAAAAAGTATTCATACACACACACACACACACACACAGACAGACATATAGCAAGAATGGAACTAAATAATAAACAACAATGTAGAATGCTAAAAATTCTCTTAAGTTACACCCAGGGGTCAGGGAAGAAATGCTATACAAAAATTACAGAATATTTTACAAGGAAAATATAAAGAATTTCATAATATATGAAATGCTGCCATGTAAATGCCTGTATTCATAAGAAAGAGAGTGAGAGAAATATAGCAAACTAAATCTCTAAATTCCTTTAAAGAAAGCAACCCCCAAAACATAGAAATAGAAAAGCCAGATAAAAATCAGCAAAACAGAAAGAAGTCATTGTTTGTATGAGTGGCGTGGATGTTAGTCTCACGTTGGGCTGTCATTCAGGGCTGTTTATTTTGGTTCACGTCGTCCCCGCGTTGGCTGCTGTGCCCTGTCCTTTGTGTTCTGAGCGCATGCGTATGTCTGGGACCACGATGCTGTCCTCCCCCGCCTGCCTGCATTCTCCCCGGAGCTTAGTTTCCACTGCCTTTTGCATGTGTTCACTGGCTGCTGTGAACCCCCCTGGGCCACAGTGACCACATGGCGCGAAGCTCTTGGGGCAGCGGGCGGGGTACTGACAGCAGCTCGGCCTGCTGAGCGCGCTCACTACGCAGACTTGCCCAGGAGACCTGGGTCTGCTGTCTGGAGCTTTCCAGGGGACCGGGCATGGTGGGGTGGCCTCACGGCTGCTGTGTCCCCAGGGCCGGCCCAGGGAGCCCCCTCGCAGTATTCCAGCTACCAGCAAGGACAAGGCCAACAGTACGGGAGCTACAGGACGTCACAGACCGGCCCGTCCGCGCAGCAGCAGCGGCCGTACGGCTACGAGCAGGCAAGCTTTCTGGATGTTTCCCCACACGTAGGTCCGCGTGTCTGTCAAAACATAACAGGCTCTTCTGTGGTCGCGAATAGTGAGGTGAACCAGCCGTCCTCCGTCCTCCGGGGTGTTAGTCTCTGACCCTGTGAGGCTTTAAAAATCCCCTGGGTGTGCAGCTCACCTGGTCAGACAGCTGGTTTTGTGCATCGTCAACTCACTTGGAGTCTGGTATTCTCTCCTGCCGCAGAGGCTCACGTGTGCCCCCCCGCCCCCCGCATGCCGGGGTCACGGCAACTACACACTGATGGCCACACTTTAGAGCTTGGGTCTCGGCCCACAGAGCTGGATGCTGCCTGGGGGCCAGGATGGAGCCGGGCAGAGAGTGCTAGGAAGAGGTCCTCGGGGGCCAAGGGCTGGCTCAGGCACCAGAGGGGCCCTCTCTCCTGGGAAAGCCAGTGACTGCCCTGTCCGCTGTCTGCCTGTCACACCTCCTTCCTTGTCTCATCCCGCACATTAGCCGGGAGGGGCCGTCTCCTGGTGTCTGGGTATAATCTCTGCCCTGGTCTCTTGCAGGGCCAGTATGGAAATTACCAGCAGTAAGGGACAGCGTTCTTGGTGGAGCCTTGTGGTGTGTCCGCCGGCGTGGACCAACCTGTGGCGGTTCTGACAAACTGTGGCCCGTCGGTTCCCCCTCGCCCCACACGTGTCGCATGTGAAGTGTGCACATTTCATGCTGGGTATGACGCCAAGTGTGCCGGAGGCTGGGGACTGTGCGCTGATGGTGTGACGTACCTGGTGCTGTGTATAGTATCATGTCCACATGGTGAATGGAGACGTCGATGTTTCTAGCTAGCTTTAGGGTCCTCTTGCCATCAGAGTGTTCTGTGCCAGCGATGGGAATCTACAAGATGCCATAGTCAGTGTGTCGTCTAAACAGACCTTAGGTCCAGCTCTCCTCACGCAGGGTAAGGTGGGTTGTAAACCTCTCTCACTGGTGACCCCGCAGCTGGACCTGCTCACGCAGCCCTGGGTGCAGCCTCTTCCCGGGCCTCGGTGGGCGGGGCTTTGTCTGTGTTTTGGGTCTGTTTCTGTTAAAGGCTACATATGTTTCATGTGGAGAGGCTGCGAACTGCCTGGGACCTCCCGGAGCTCATTACCTGTGTCTCTCGCTGATTCCATCTGTCCAAAAAGTTACATGCTCTCCTTTTAAAAAGTAAAGCGAGAGCAATGACTGTTGCAGATACGAGTCCACGAAGGCAGCCACCTTTAGCCCAACCCCAGGAGGCAGCGCCAGCGCAGAGAGGAGTGCTCTGACCGGGCTTGGGCTCCGGCCCATGTTTACCTGATGGTCATTTTGGGGTTTGAATAGTAAATGTGCCCCATTCTAAATTTATAGCTTAAATAGTGACACCAAACTTTCCACACAGTTGGCAAGTTGTTCGTTTTATGTTCTTTACTCCACGACCTGCTTGTTCAGATCTCCAAGCAAGCGTTGCTTTTCTCTTAGGGCGGTGGTTCTCCACCTCTGGCCCTTTAAATACAGCTCCTCATCTTGTGACCCAACCATAACATTATTTTCGTTGCTACTTCATAACTGTAATGTTGCTACTGTTATGAATCGTCATGTAAATATCTGATAGGCAGGATGGTCTAGGCGACCCCTGTGTAAGGGTCATTCGACCCCCAAAGGGGTCACGACCCACAGGTTGAGAACCGCTGTTTTAGGGACAACTAAATTTTAAAAAGAACCCCACTGAGGGTGTTGTGGTGTTCCTAGTGAAAAGGAAAGTTTTTACTTAGAGAAATGTGAGTAATTTTTACATTCCCAGGACGTTAAATCCTATTTAAATTCTGGGCAAGCACTATAGACAGCTCACTTGGAAAAGTCTGGTCAGAGGAAAAATCCTACATTCACTAAGTAATACTGACATGTTATCAATATTTACTTGGGTAATATCTACTTGTACTGTGAACCCTTTAAAAACATCTTTGGATGAATGCTGACATTTCCAAGAACAACCAAGAAAATACAAAAAATATCCAATTCTTGATACATCAGATATACTAAGATAGAAGCGTTTATTTTATAGGTAGACTGGTATTGGCTTTAAAAAATCCTAAACGCTGGTAAGGGCTTAAAAATATGTATCTATATTCAATGACTGAGATGAGAGCTCTTATTTGCTAAATGACAGACATTAGCAATGTCATCTCCCTTGATTTGTTTTGTTCTTTCCTGACAGTTGTCATAGATCTAATTTGTAGACTCAATCAGGAACTAAAATTTCCCATTGAAAATGTTAAACATTTTAGATAACTGTGAAACTAGGTTATTTTTATTTCTTGCCATCCTGGGAATATTCCTTGTGTGTGTGTAGGGTTGGCTTTTTTTAATGAACACTTTTTTTTTTTAAAGAAAAGGACACTTGAAAGTTATCCTGAAACTTCAATCTGAAATGTCTTACATTAAGAATTTCTTGAATGTTGTGTATATATTTTAAAAAGCACTTTGTGAAATAGTTTGTACATTTATTTCCTTATTTATACATGATTTTTGGTGTTAATATATTTAAGGAGTAATAACAGAATGTTTATTTAAAGCAGGGGTGGGGAACGTCTGGCCCGAGGGCTGTATAAAGTCCGAGAAATCATTTGGTCTGGCCCTGCCAAGGCCATTAGAGATGAGTTAATTAAATGTTTGACCAAATATAGCAGGCTAATTTTTAAGTTGATAAT